CTCCTAAAGAGAAACTCATTATTTCAGATGGCCAAATCATGATTTCTGAACAAACAGTAGAAGTGCTTTAATGTCAGTACAATCAATCATGTACATTTTCTGTGATGCAAAGGCAGGAATGAAATTTGGTGCACTGTGCAGAACTGCCACCTCAGTGCTGTTTATGCCCCAATTTGGTAAGGAATATGAAGGATCCAGCTGCACCAAGCAGACCTGAATGAGTAATTATCAATGACTAAGCGTTCAAGTATCTGCTAAAACCCAAAGATTATCCCCTAGAGCTATTCCTCCATTTCTTCACTACTTTTTCAAGAGAAATTAGAAGCCACTGGCTGTTGTGAGAAACTATTCCTACACTTGAGGCTTCTCTAAAAGTGTCTGACTCTTGGATATTTAGTTTTGAAACCAGCAATTTGCAGCTCCACATAAAACTGATTTGAGAATCTCTGCCCAATTTTTAGTGTAACCTCATCAGAAATTATCATCACAGTGAGCACTGATGATAATTGATACTCGTGCCTGAAGACTGAGATACAGAATTCAAAATCCAACTGGATTTTGAGAATAAACTGCTTTTGCTTCATGCATTTGCACCATACTTTAGCTGAACAACCAAAGCTTAATTTTTTGAGTTGTATCACTGCAAGCACCATTCATAATCACTACAATAAAAATATTTACTGTGAAAATGAAAACAAATGAGATGGTAAAAGGATGCCTTCACCGATATCAACTGTACTCTTGGCCACCTCCCATAGTTGACTTATTTTTTAAAATGTGCTCATAAAACATTTCAATATTCATACATAGTTTGTGTCTCAAGTCACAAGACAGATTCATCACAATTTTTCTGGCAATTCAACTCTTTTGGATTGTAAATTGGGGGTAACAGCAGTTCAGATCCTATGAGCACTGGCTGAGCAATCATAATTAGTCATAAATTCAAAGCAAGTTCAGAAACTTACATAAGTTTTCTGGTAATGCTGTTACTGAGTTACAACCTTGTCAATAACAATGAATATTTTAAGTCAGAACACTTCTACAGAGTCTCGGAAGTGTTATTTGTCTATAGCAGAGACATTTCAATCTTCAAACTAAGAATAAAACCACACGCCTACTGAGGCTGATGGCAAAACTCCAGATGGGTGCAGAATTGTGACCTGCCTACAAAAAAGGGAAACTGCTTCCGATTCAGCTCTGGGCTTGCAAATCTCATCCTGATATTTTTGATTAAAGTTAACTGGAGATTTAAGAATCCTTACTATTGTTCAGCATGTAGGTCATAATTTATTTTCTGAATATCAGTATGCAATACATTCAGTGACTATAAAACAATATTCCAAAGGTGTTCCACAAAGATGGTCTCCAAGTCCACTGTGTCATATAACAGACATCAGATTTTTGGCTTTGCAAAACTTAACTTTAAAGACATTTACCGTGTTGGTAGTTTTTGGCTGATTGGTTATGGCAGAATCATTTTGAATAAGATAATGTTTTCAGCATGTATTTCCTTTCTATCCAAAATATCACAGATAGAAAAAAAAACATTATGCAAGCAGGGATTGCAGAAACATAAATCATGGCAGCAACCAACAGTTATTCAATGAATATGTGACTGTGAAACTTTTCCTGCCATAGAAGCCCCAAGTAAATGCTTCTTAAATATGCAGAAATGGTGTCTTTGCTGTTATTCCCTCCTCAGACTTTAGCAACCCCATGGTCTTTGGAGGTGAAACATACTGACTTGTAGAGGGCTTCATTTGGACTATAGGAACCTAAGAAAATATCAGCATGTTCCTGATTTGAAAGCAACATACCAGAGAACAAATCTAAAATAAACCCATGTGTAAAATTCTTGATATATTTTTCTGTGTGAATCTGCTAGCCATCATTTCTTGCTGCCACTCATCCATTAGTAAGAATATAAATATATACAGTCTTACATACATTTCATAACAAATCTAACATCATCTAGCTTCATGATGTGATAAAATGTTATCACAAGGTTAAGAGTTACTTACCAGGCTGAGCATCCTGCCTTTACAATTAACAGTATGGAGCCATATGCATTTAAGGGATCACTTAAAACCAGCAAGACGGCACTTGGATACTTCTACTTTGTTTATTAGCTTAACCATCTCCTAAAATCTGTAGTATTGATAACTCATCTGCTACCGCGTGAGAAAAACAAGGAGCCTTTTACACCATATTTAGCAATAAATATGCATGGATAGCTACATTCAAGGCCAAATATATAGTTAACGTCCACAAATACATACAACCTGTGGAATACAGTAATTTCAGATAGATTAATCTTTTAAATCTTTGGAAATAAATTATTCCATGTTGCTGCTACCATTTGGTGGTGGGTTTTCTTCTTTTAAGGAAAACATACAGCCATCATTTCCTTGGATTACCACTAGCTTTAGACTAATGCAGTCCCATTTGTTTCATCTATATTGGCACATAACAGAAAAAGTAGGCTCTATGCCTGCAAAAGAACACAGCCAAGGCTAGCCCGTAAGTCACTTATGCCACTGCTCTTGGTCTCAGAGCAGATACAATGAACAGGCTGCTCAGCAATTTAACTGACCTACTAATCTAGCAACTAATCTGGCCCTGACATAATACTTGTGTTGAACTTGAGAAGCTGCATACCTGTAAGGGCAGAGATCAGTTTGAAGCTTAGCTAAACACTGTGCGGTGCTTGTTAACCATGCCGTGAAGAATCAGAAAGGGCTGCTATAACCAAAGTTAACTTTCATTTCTTCTCAGTAACAGCTACCTTTTTTCCCCACAACTTCTCATGTTAAAGTTTACTTTGAGTTACATTCTTACCACATTTCCACCACATTCTTTTAAAATGGTCATTATTTTATTCTGTACCTGCCTCAAGCAGGATGAAATTAATCAATTGCACATAAGTGACATGACATAGACTTGTGACCTTGCCCAGCATCCAATTGTTTCTAATTGATTAGCTCCAGACATAAGCACTTTAATAGCCAAAAACAACACAAGTGGAAGCTATGGTACAATATTAGGGTAGAATGACTGTGTGTGGTCCATACAGTATGGCCCCAAGCAAGCAATTAAAGAATTAATGGTTATTGGATACCAAAAATGTTATGTTAAATAATATAAAGTATCTTTAATGTGCCTAAAATTGTGATAAAACACCTAAAACTTTGGAGAAGAAGGGCGTCCCTACAAGACTGGGGTTAAGTGCTAATGACTCAAATACAACAAATAGATTAGAATATTTTAAAGGACAATCAAAACCAAAACCAATTGACCTGGATTGAAATGTCCATAAAGCGACTCACAATAGTGTATTGATTACTACAATGTGTTTGGTTGTTTTTATTATAAAGAGACAAGTGAAGCTATGCCAAACTATTCATGGAGAAGAGGAAACTATGCCACTACTGGTTCCAGTTCTACAATAGAAAAAAATATGAAAGGAAAAAAGAAAAATATTGCGTAAGAGAAAAAAGGGGCTCTTCATAACCAAAAGGTCCAAACACAAAGTTGACATTTCCCTTCTCTGAACTTCTATTATCATCTTGAACAGAACTATTAAGTGAACTTTATATACTATTTTCTGAGTGTTTTATAGGGCTGGCTAGTACAGCCTCCCTCAACTGCTTGCACACAAAAATACAAGCTGAGCAGGCACAGCAAATCAGTAATATTTTTGTTCTTGCATAAGAAAGATGCGATCAAAAAGCAGAAGATTCCACTGTTGCCCCATCTGCTTGGACACACACTGAGTGCACTGTGCTTCACTGTACCATTGATACGAATCTAGTATTTTAGTTTCATGGCAAGTCCTTTACTCAAAGTAACCAGTGCACTTTCATGACTAGCTGCAACCAGTCAGATACAGGAGGTGTTATCAACAGGCAGCTTCCAATTGACTCACAGAACAAAGTGCACTCAGCAGCGCCACTGAGGATGGATTTGAGCCCAATTCCCACTACCTTAAGTCTCAAAGTCCACTCTACACCGATCATAGCTTACTCAGCTGCCAAGTACAGTCTCTCCTCAGTTCTTCATACTCCTTTTGAACTTCATTTTGCCTGCTCTATTACCCTTCAATTCAAAAATCTTCATGCACATTCCTATAATGCCCAGCACACTGAGCTCCAGTTTGAAACCACCAGTTATCTGCACTGCAGTAGTACAAACAGTACACAACAGTACAACAATAAACAGTGTCACTGGTTTTATTTTAAACCAAGATTTTGCTTTTTTGTCGAAAAGTACCACAATACATCAAAAAAAAAATGCTATGTGTTTCAAAAAAGATTCACCAGTTCGTTTAGCTGTCCTTTGCTAAGGATTTCTGGATTTGGATATATTCAGGACTGAAGAATCCTTGAAACGTTCCGTGCCGTGGGAACTATCAGTATAGAGAATGACATACTGTAACAACATCTCCGTTGCATGCCAGCACACCATATTTCCTGAAATACTCACTTCTTGGAACTGATTAGGCGCATGTGTCAGGCAATAGATCAGTTGGCAGCTATGGTTTTCCTTCATGGTTCCTGTATTCATTGAACTCTTGAAGCAAAGACCTTTTTGGACCACCTTCTCCTCTGTCAGTGTCTTCCAAGTGCTTTAGATGTATATACCCAGGTATTTATATAACCCTTGTCACAGTATCTTAACATTTATCAGGTGCTAAACCTCCTGGGGACAAAAACCAGTGCTGGTGCCTAGAAAGACCCATGGCATTACATGTCTGGCAAGATGTCCGTTTGGTACCCATTCGGTAAAGTCAGGTAAAATATTAATAGGAAGAGAGAATACTCATTTCCCACATGGATATCTCCAAATTCATTTCAATGAAAGAAAAACCTAATTGGGAGCCTTTTATTTACAGTGCAGTTCCTTCAGCAGTTTTCTCTTTAGAAAACAGCAATTTAAAGGATGCAGCAGTGTGCCTCTGATAAAGGATGAGGCACAACAATAGCAACAAGTTAATCACCTACCTGTAGGTGAGCATAGACAGCAATAGCAAGCCAAGTGATCTCCCAGGAGAACGCTGTGGCTTTAGGGCTGGCCATCCTTGCGCCTTCAGGCTCTGCTGAGAGAAATTGTTTCAAGTTACAAACAAAATCAAGAGGGCCCCGCCAGAATTCCAATGACTAAAGCAAACTGGGCAAAGACATGGAACTGGCCTTTGGAAGAAACGCAATGCAAACACCGGAGTTCTGTGCTGGCCAGGGGAGCAGGCGCACAGTGCATGCCATGAGCACAGCCTGCAGGGTGAGGTAGTTCCAATTAGAACAGAAAGGGGGAAAACGAAAGGTTTGGGGAAGCTGGCAGTAGTGGGTAACTTTGATTATCTCCTGCATGTAGGAGAATTTATCACACTGGGAACTCCTCCCATTTTATCTCCAGAAAGTAAAATTCAAGGAGCATAGGATTTCTGAGTACTGTTCCAGCACTTTCACCCCCTCAGAGCTGACAGCCCAGCCCAGGGACTTCAGCAGTCATTTGCATTGCCTTTGAAAACTCTGATCATAACAGCTCAGAGAAGTGATCAGTGCAGAGAAAAAAAATAATCCATCAATTTAGTGATTATCCCCATTACAGGGCTAACACGAAACTGATGGTCACTTGACAAAAAGTTTAGATTTAAAATTGCCAACAAGAAAACAATTTTGTAGTAATGCTGCTAATTCTGTTAATTCCTAATATCAATGCATCTTTTTGAGTCAGGCTATTCATTACCACAGTGATCTCAAAATAGCATAAGTTCCACGCACCCCTAATACAAAAGCGCACAAACAGCCCTCCCTCCCCCCTCCCTGCCACCACCCCGCTATTTTGCAAAGTCCCACAGTGAATGCAAATCTCTCCTTCAAAACACAGTACCCCTTTCTGAAAGGTCACATATCCCAAAGGAAAACCATCTATCCAAACGGTTCTTGCACCTGTCAACTAAACATAATTAAGATTCCTTATAGAAATAAGTGTTCTATTCCCATTCTCCAA